CAAAATAAATATACATAATCGCAAGTGAATAGTGAAATTAAAAAAAAAATAGTTTAATCATTATTTGAAATGACTTTTCCTTAATTAAGTAGAATACAAAGGACTCAGTGGCCGGCGCACTTTTGTCCCAGGAGGAAGAACAGCTTACAGTTGCATTAATATACAAAGGAGATTTCTAAGAGATTGTTCTGATCCATTTAGCTTAAATGATAAATTTTAAGGGCCTCCATTTCACTAGATATTGTGCCGCTTTAATTCTTGGAACGTTTTCCCGAAATTCCACCACATCCTCTTTAGCTCCTTTTACAAAACCTCGACCAATGTCCGGCTTTTCGCTCATGTATTCCACCAGTTGTTCGTATTGCGAGCGATTTGTTGTGATCTTCGATCTGTTAATTTTGTAAACATTTAATAATAAATTTTTTTTTCATATCATATTCATTTTTACATATTTTTGCGTTTACACACTTTATTTTACTGATATTTTAAAACAATTTGTTTCGCTCCGACACGAGTTGCTATTCGTACAAAATTTCCGACAAATACATAAAAATGACAGCTACGTCGGATTCAGGCATACCAACATTACGAATTTCGAAGATTGCCTACGAATTTCGAAATTACGATACGACAACGCGGATTTGAGCATACCAAATTTACGATTCGTAGCAAAATCGAATCTACGACGGATTACAGCATAGAGGTGGTAGGCAATCATGTGTTTTGCCCATATCTACTTCAAAGGCTTTTAAGGTTATTCTTCATAGAATCGTATTATTAGTTTGCTTTTAAGTGAAACAAATCAATAACATCAAATAGCCGCGTTTCTAAGACGTAATAGTTTCTTAAAAAATGGGTTTTATACATTTGCACAACTAAATAAATGACCTTAGCAAAATGATTCAATTTAAGTCTTCATAATTTTTCCCATCGTTTACCTTCATATAAATTTCATTCAAAAGGTGAGGTAATACATGCTGAATCATCATATTACAATGCTCCGTTTGAAATTTCTTATCCTGCAGCCGTGCATCCATACGATAAATAAATTTCAAAGCCAAATAATTTGCCACCGCCTCTTTACGCTCATTACATACTCTGTCCAGCTCATTGTAAAAGTGATGGCAAGGCCAAGTCTCCTCCTCCAACTCAAATTTTGTACTGTTCCATGCGATGTCCAAATAACTATTCCATTGCTGGAATTCGTCTATGCCCAGTGCCGCTGTCAGCACCTCACATTCATTCATATCCTCATGAAACTCGTCTGTAATATTGAGTATGGCTCTCCAAGTTTCTACGATATCCGCAATGATCCGCTCAATTTTCTGCTCATCATTAACCCCATACAAATGCAAGTAGTTACGCATACGTTTTTCGTTCAATTCGTGTGAACTATTCGTGTCTATGTTGTCTGTATGTACAATGTATTCGAAACCCAAATCGGGTAATTTGAAATACGGCGGAAACGGATATTGCGGCATTATTTCCTCTTTGATTAAACCCAAGGCGCCATAGTTGGTTAAGTGTGCGCTCATATTGAACCAACTGAAGTTATCTGGCCTCCACGTCTCGTCGACAGCTGGAAAGCCACCAATCGACTTGATTATATCCAAATACACTTGAGAATATTTCACCGGATATAAGTCAGCTGTTAGACAATCGTTATAAATCCGCCTTGCCATATTCAATTCTAACGTATACTGAAAGTTATCGAACGATGATGAATCTTGCAGGAGAAGTTGTTGAACGGCTTCGCCTAAACTGTAAACAATATCAATAAGATTGCTGCGTTTGTGCTGCGATTGACGTTCGGGAATCACATTCTTCCAATTGCCACAGGCGTACTCGTAGAAATCTTCACATGGTTGCACCGACTGATTCATATATGTCAGCATTTGTTGGGCATACTTGACGCGATATTCACTTTCGATTTCGTTCAAACCATTCTGCATCACATCTATTGCAGCTACATTTGCTGTTGTTGGAACAATGTCGGCGTTAGGAACGCTAGTCGTCGCACTATTATTTTGTGTACTGTATGTCGGAGCGTTGGTGGGTAACGCAGCACATAATGCAATTGAGCTTAACAGGAGAATGAGCAAAAGTAGGTGCCGGATTATTTTCACTTTCATCGTGATTTGAATATGAGATACACTTATGCACTTTAGTTTAATAAATTTTTTATATGCATGTATTTATGCACATGCACTAAAACATACATATGTACATACATATACGCATATATGTAAGTATGTTTATATGCTCTTATATTTTTAAAACGCGTGTTTTAATTTACAAAACCACATTTACACTGTGCTAATCTAAATTACGTGTAGCGATAAAGTTCTGATCACGGCTGATATTAGCTCCGCTCCGCCTGTGCGAGGAGTCGGATTCATACTGAGCCTTAGCGATGCTTAAAAAATTTATTCAGAACAATCGCAAAGCGGGTTCGCTCCAAATAATTTGCAGTTTGCGTCCCTAAGTCTCGATTACTCCGCTTTTAAAAGTAAATACATACCTACATACATAAATACATATGTATACACTATGGACATACATACATATGTACATATGCGAGTAATTGCCAAGTCTAAATATCATTCTCTGCTCTCATACTACAGCAGGGCCGGTTTCAGTGTGAGACGATCCGCGCGGTTGCCCTGCAGTGGAATTCTGAAAATCGTTTACGCTAATTTTTGTCGCCAAAAAATTTTAAAAGAATAGCAGGCGCGTATAAGAACATGCAGCATCTAAGTACATAGCCACTGCTAGATTTGGCTGATTACACATTACATCTGTTGCAATGCTATTGTTTCATGTGGTGTACTTTTGGGCCCCTCTGATTCTCATTCAGATTATTTTTGGTGCCTGAGGGTTAGCGGCGCCATCGTCAGAATCCCACTGCTGATGGTCTTTTTTGTAGGCTTTGAAAATAAACACCCTGAAAAGCTACACATCTGCACATCAAAATTTTTAGGCGCTCCGTTCTTCGGCTCTTATGCCCCTAAGTATGTATGTACCCTGTGGGGAAAATCTCTAGTTCTGAACTGGGGCGCTTCTAGTACATTTAGACTGGTTCGCGATAAATCTCTTTTGCATGCAAGCAACTGGCGAATTTAACATGGCGATGTCCTAGGAAGTGTCAATTGCCCCCCGCTGCATCCCTTTTTCGATAGTTCCGAACTAGTCCTAAATTCTCTAGTTCCGAACCCGTTCTAAAATCGACAGACGAAAGAAAAAAGTATCATGATTTTTCAACCTTTCAGTTCTGTCGTGTGCGATTTTACATTATTTTCAAAGAAACGTTTTTTTCAATTTGAAATTAAATTTGTTTGAATGATTGTAAGAAATGTACGTTTACATACCTTGCTGTAGCTGACTTTGCAGAGGTGCTCGCTGTTATTGGTTAGATTCCAGACGGCCCCAAGATGTTAATATGTTAACACAAAACTTTGTTTTGTATTACCAAACTATTAAAGAGCCTCTGCGAAGCACAGAATAGAAGCGTATTTGAACGAAAAAGCCGCCGAACACATATCTATGTAAAGTAAATAAGCCCCCCGCTGCATCCCTGATTCGATAGTTCCGAAATAGTTCTAAATTCGACAAATAGGATCTAGTTCGTTCTGCATCCCTTTTTCTATAGTTCCGAACCAATTCTAAATTCGTCACTTTAGAAATAGATTTGTAGTGAAAAAAACTGAAAAATTAGTTTCTTAAAAGTACCACTTTTCGCCGATTTTGGACTGGTGGGGATCTAGTTCCTATCGGACTAGTTCCTTTTTGGCGATAAAGACCTAGTACGGAACTAGAAATTTGATTCACTAGTCCGCGGTTTCCCTGCAGGGTATAAACTAGTTTATCTTCTTAAAGCTGCCTACAACTAAGTTTCGGAAAGCCTGGAAATTTTTAAAACTATCTATAAATATTTTAATTTGTATACTTTTTTCTGTATTGAAACGCTGCTGACAGACAATGTGAAGGGGTAGATAGGCAGGTAGGACTGGCTGGCTAGTGAAAGCCTCTCATAGAGAAATATTTTCATCCGTGCATAAGGCGGGAAATATATCAAGATTCCATGAAACTTTCTTAGCGAATTTTAGGATTTTGTAGATATCGTTTTTTGTTGCTTGCTCTGAGTTAGTGAGGAACGCCTCCCTAAATCAATTCAGACGTAAATTTGCACACTATGCGCCTATGTGTTCCACCGTTTCTTTTTCGATTTCACACTTCCTGCACTTATCACTACTAGCCTAACCAATTTTTAGAACGTGGTTAGCTAACAAATTGTGTCCAGTTATCGGACGCATCAGAATTCCAAGTTGGTTTTTTTACGTTTTGTTAATTTGAGATCGTGTGACCTAAGCATGACACTGGATAATTTGCATCCACGTGGTTGTGACCACCCTTAATCCGCCTCTTGGAACATGCCTAAGTCACATATGCCTTTAAGAGTCAGTAGGGTGATGGGAACATCTAGCGCGACGCCTTGATTTGCTAGCACTCCACTTTTTGCTAAAGCATCCACCCTTTCATTTCCCTCTATGCCTCTTTGCCCAGGTGCCCACTAAAAGGGAGTTTTCCTGGTTGACCCTGGAATTTCTATTTCATTTGCGTATTCTAGAACATTTCTTGAGGTCATTGTTTTTGACATTATGGATTTATAGCAGATTGGCTATAGACTAACATATGTGAAAACTAATTAGTTTGATTTGTGCATTGCTGTTATTAAGAAGCACCGCAGTGACTTCCGCCTGCAAGACCCTATAGTAGTTTGGTAGTTTGAACAATTTTTTTATTCCTAATTCATTACAATAGACACCTACTTCTACGCCATCTGGGAACGCATGAATTGTACTGCCTCCTGCCATAAAGCCAGAAAGGTTAACAATCAAAATATGCCGTGTGATGTGCCGTTAGGTTATATTGAAGTGTCTGCCTGCATCCGGTAGAGGAGAGAGAAACACTTAGGCCCGGTGGGCTGATTGTGAGCTCGTATTCGTTCCCATAGAAGTAGAACCAGAAGGTTAAGTTTATAAAAGCGAGAATTCATGAATGCCTTCTGCTGCCCGCCAGACAAACCAAAGAGGTGACGGTGAAATGAGCGTCTTCTATCACCCGAAAGGTCAGGCAGGCCAGTGACAGAGATAGTGTGCTATGCTTTGAATTTCTTCCTCGTTGGAATGCCCATTCTGCTAGCATTCCGTCCCATCAAGTGGTGAACTGTTATAATTTCGGTCACATGCATAAGTAGGGGCCGTTCTAGATAAATGAGTGAGGTGGAAATTTTCTTGTCGAAGCCAGATTTGTCGGATCGTCGTACAGTTGTTTTCTTCCGGCCGTCTCTTCCCCGCAGGCTCGTCTGCCATATACCTATGTACCTTGAATCTCTATAGCGATATCGTCGGCGATGATATACGCAGAAAATATGTATCGAATTAGTGACCTCCGCGATTGAAAATGCTGGCAGGGTATATTTATAAAAAAACGAGATTGAAACGTATAGGTACATCCTTACGTCCTTACTAATATTATAAATCCTAAAGTGAGTTTGTTTATTTGTTACGCGTTCACTAACTACTCAACCGATTCCCTTTAAATTTTGTGCACTGGTGCCATTTAGCCCAACTTAAAATATAGGACAGATATTAAATCTATCTCGATTATACGATGGGGCGTGGCACCTCCCATACAAACGGAATTTTCATACCGCATATCATATATCAGAAAATATTTTAAAATATAAAATGAATTCGATACTCATGGAGGAGGCTACCACCAGTTTAAAATATCAAATCGACTTGAATTAAGGGAATTATTTATTTGAAAATTATATAAAATAATGGATGAGCAGAAGCTTAAAAAGTTATGGTTTGAAAGTATTTTGGAAAGGGTTGCCATCTGTTCGAAAAGCCAAATTTAAATTAATTTATTCGCAAGCGATCTGAAAAATTAATATATGGGTCTCAAATGAAAGATCCTAAGAAACCTTCGGATTGAACATTTAAAAAATTACTGAGGTGTTTTACAAGCGTTGCCACCAGTATAAAAATTAAATTAATCTAATTTAAATGAATTACTACAATATGGGTATCAATCGAAAGGTTTTTGATTAGGGTTTTAGTTCTAAACTACATGTCAATGAATTAAAGGAATTTGATAATTAAAATATGTATAACAAAATGGACTTCAGACTAGAGGGATTTAATAGGGTTTTAGTGGGAAAATATTTGGAAGAGGGTTACCATCTGTTTTAAAAGTCGAGTTTAAATTAGAAATGTTCAGCTTAAGCATGTAGAACTTTTTGAGGTTTTTGAAGAGGGTTGCCACCTGTTTAAATCTAAATTCAAATACAATGAGTTATTACAATCTAGGTTTTAATCGGCAGTGTCATCAAAAGGCTTTATTTCTAAGCAACATATGTATAGCAGGGACCCCACATGTTTGAAAATTCAAATTCAACTTGAATTATAGGAATTAACGATTTAAAAAGTAAAATACAAAGTTTTCAACCATTTCAATGAATTATTACAATATGTGATCAATCGAAATGATTTTGAAATGGCTTCATTTCTAAACATCATGTATGTACATAATTATGAAAAAGTATCACAAGAGAGAGATTTAAGATAGTTTTAGTTTGAAAATATTTAAAAAATGTTAAATCTACTGCTTTTCGCATATTTTAAGTATGTTGAGTTTAATTAAAGTAAATTACACCTAGAAATTTCTTACACTAAGCGAAGCGGGTCAGAGCGATCAAGTATATGTATATACACATATGTATGTATTTGTGTATTTGTAAATGCATATATGTAGGCATTTCACATAAAATCGTTAATTTTTATTTTACTCAGACTATGACAATTTTAATTTGAGCCTAAATGAACTCGATTCACCGCAATTTCTGTGATTTATATGCCTTAATACATAAGAGTATTTGGGGTTTTAAACAATAAAAATATGTACACACATATAACGTATTTACTTATATATTTTTAAATAAATATTTTTTTGTTTTGAATGGCACCAAAATTTGTATTTTTGATTAGACTGGTCTTTAAAACAACAAATCGGCGCATTGCATGAACTTGACCTAACAGTATATTGAGTTTGCGTTCATTATGATAAGTACTATCAATTCGCTGTCGTTCCAGTATTTTACGACACTCGTTTCCATTCACATTTACAACTTAAACTTGGTGGTAACTACGCGACCGACATCTTCAAAAAAAATTATAATAACAAATATACCAACAACTAACAACTACGGTTGTTCTATACACACATACGTATTGTATATATCTCACACGTTCTACAAAATTGTTTAAATTCAAAATTTTTAATTTTTTACCAGTTTAAAAAAGGAGGAGGTTCAACATATACACTGAGAAAAGAAATGCGTTGTAAAAATAAAATTTTTTTATTTGATTACCGCTTAAAAATATTTGTATTTAAATCAAGTGAAAAGTAATAAGAAAATGGATCTTTCCATTATATATCCACTACGTATAATGGCAATATTCAGATCACT